ACATCGTATGGTATGATGCAGCCAGGGAGCAATCCCGCGACCTTCTGCTCTCCAGGCAGATGCTCTAACCACTACACCACGGAGGTGTTCCATATTACTATGGTTAATCTGCCATGGTCCTTAACTTCTAGTTTAGGAAAGTCATGGGTTACTGGGAAACAAGAACAAGCACCCAAACAATGGAAGTCTGCAGGCTCAATCCTTGTTGCCAGCCTTGGACATTCTACTAGAATGAGTGAGTTTGGTTTTACACCGTGTTTAGCAATATTCCAGCAATTCTGGGCTTCACACACTGTCCCCATGTGTGGAATCGAACCCAGGTCTACGGTGTGACAAGCGAACGCTTTCACCACTAGGCTACCCCACTGCCCCTCATTCTTTGCTGTCGACTAATACATGAATAATCGGATTCGAACTAATGACTTACGAAAACTGGCTGCTTGATAGTGGCATCTCCTTTCTGCCACAATGGCATGGTACCACGCGCTCTCCTGTCTACAAGAGAGTAACAAAATATTCAATCCAAGGCAAACAACCCTTCACACGTCATCTTTTGTAAAATGTTAATTTTTTCTGCTAATCAGTATTTTTATTCAAATCTCTCGAGTCATAAACTACATTACAAAAAAGTCATTGGTTCGTCAGTCTGAATACAAATCAGTATATAAGCATCTTTCACTCAGGATACGTAGTAAGATACTTCATACATGAAAAATATCTTAAACTCTTCAAATTCTTGATCTACTATCTGCTTGATAACCCCAAACTACATAAGACAAATTCATGAAACGATGTTAAGCCTAAAATATTGTCTGCTTCAGTAAATGCTTCATGCTCCCTTTAAGAAGGCATTACTTTCAGTATGTAATGTCTAGGCTCCTGTATCCTGATAACTTACAGACACTGGCATAGTATCTAATGAATCGGTCCTCTGCCCCAAAAATGTCAGCAGGTCTGAAGATGGTGGCATCAGGGAACTCTTCCCTCACAGCCTCTTCACCAGCATACTGAAGGGAGGCAACATAAGGTGGTTACTCTTTAAATACTTGATTACAGTGGGTGGGTGAGTGAGTGGTTGGGCATTTATGCTGGTTTGACAAGTACTTCTGCTATATCACAGTGTTTCAGTTTGGTGGTACGAAATCCTAAGAGATGCATGTCCTATACATTTACCACAATGGTAAAACAAAAATGTTGCTGACAGATCTAGAAACGTAATTGATAAAAACCTGCATTCAAACACATGATCATAGGATTCCTACACACGTCAAATTGAGGTGCCTTGGACAACTGGGCACCGGTATCCCTGTTTGATTAACAGATCTACTGGCAGGGTCTAGTTTTTTCTCTCAGAGCATGAACAAATTCCTGAGAAAAAAGAGTCCACGTTTCTCAGTTATCTTATGTATCCGAGTATCATATATCCCTGATACCAATTTGCCTCCACAGTTTTGTTACAGAAAGTGGAGCTGGCATCTCTATGTTCTAATCTCCTTCTCATATGCTTGAAATCAACAACAAATGAAAACTGTCTCTATTTCATGTCTCCAGGGATGGAACCCAATCAGAAGCTGAAATGAAAGCTTCCTTTACCTTAGTTCTGAGGAAGCGTGATCCTCCTTTGATGTAAATCTGTTGTGGATTAGGACTCGCATTGAGGGACGAGAAATGAATGAGCCTCTCCACACCATTCTCACGGGCCAGTCTGGCAATCAGGCGGGCAGTCTCAACATGTACGTCATTGTATTTGAAGTTTCTGAAAAAATATTATGAAACTGTGAAGAAAAGTTAACTGTAAACACAAGCAAGATGAGAAAACAAACTGACATCCTAAATGATGTACCCAAACCGGGTCAAACTTATGACTGACAATAACATGTTATCAGCTGAGAAGTAGAACCTGGACACCTGATAAGCTGCCTGATGCAAGCAGCAAGGTGGGGCTCAGGACCAACATCTGCCGCTGGAGGAGTATCATTGTCCAATTACAATCATCTTTCAATTACATGCAATTGAGTATTGTTTCACACAGCTTTTAGAAATATTCCTACAATGTCATGCTTGGGGACACAAGAAATGTTTTGATTATCATAATCATGGTAGTCACAATTCAAACCCAACCAAGACTGTTTGAAATAGATCACAAAGCTTAAATGCTCCTTGTCTGGATGCCAGTGGTTAATGGCTATGATTGATAAGGGGTTCCTCAAAACAAATACAGTGGTTGCGAACCTAAACGACCCCACAACCTCCTGGTCAGTCCAACCGCCTCAATGGTGTAGTGGTTAGAGCGTCCACCCGGAGAGCGGAAGGTCGCGGGTTCGATCCCCGACCGCGTCATACCAAAAGACGTTAAAATATGGTACTTGTTGGTCCCTGCCTGGCGCTCGGCATTAATGGGTACAACAAGGACTGGTCAGCTCGGAGTCAGTATAATGTGTCTGAGTGGGGTGTTCATGCTTCACTGCGGCATGGTATCTCAGTGGGCTAGCACTATAAAACCAGCTTCAGTCTTGGCTAGTACAAGCAGACGCACATACACATAAAAATGCATGCACGTCGTCATATGAGCGAAATATTCTCAAGCATGACGATAAACCCAATTTCACCTCACCTGGTCAGTCCAATATTTTCAATTTCCCAAATCATGTAAATATTTGTTTCATATCAGTGAGGCTGGTGGATAAGAGTCCTACTACTCCTATAATTCAGATTGAAATACTGGCTGCTACTTGTATCAATCACTTGAGCACCATTGCTTTCAAGAGTGAAGAAAGCATTGGAACAACATAATACCTACACTGTACAGCACACTGTCATCTATAAAGCAACCACACTTATAATGGAAATCCCCTGCAGAAACCATTAAAACAAAATATTAGTTAATTGCTATTTTGGACAAATACAAAGTTGCACTGACAAACATTAGAACTGAACTGGCCTTCAAATTCAGTGGAACCTGAAATAGATTGTAAGCAATTCTACTCTATGTATAGTTGGACCTCCTTTCATAAACCTTCTTTCTTGGAACCAAAAAAACCATTATAGATGGTAACATAGACTAATTGCCATCCCCCTCCAAGATGTTATTCTTGTAGTGACTCCTTTGGCTCCAGATTTGTTTAATGCTTAGGACACATTAAATCCAATAAGTTATTTATATTTGGGCAGATAGTGTTACCTTGTTTCCCAGTCTCGTCCAATCAGATTGATGACAACATTGGAGTGCTGCAAAACCTTCCTCACAGAGTCGTCATCACCGAATGGAGTATGGCTGGAATACAACACAAGAGTCACTCACTGCATCCGTATAGCACATTGGCTACTTTCAAACAAAACAGGACAGAAATCCTTGACTCTTAAATTTATGAAGTTATTAATAATGTGAATGATGAATCTTAAAATGAAACCACTGACCCGACAAAACAGAACTTACAAAGAACAAGATCTGTCCCAAATCCCCAGACAACTTGAGTCTCTGAATGTCAAGTGGTTCGCTGCGGTAGGGGATAATCACCTGCGACCCTACTTTCCCTGAAAAATGCAATTATAATTTTGATGATACTCCTTACACATCCCTGTGAATGATGTTGTCATTTAACAATATAGATGTGTTGATATTGATCTACTTACACATATACATTGAGCTGATGATATCATTAATAAAGATGATAAAAATGTCAATCAAATTAGCTATTTTTTATATCTATGTTATTTCTGTTCTAATTCTAAATTTTAAGATTGTTAGCTGAATAAATATTCCAAAACTGCTGTGGTTTTAATTGAATATTATTACCTAATCTGTTTACAACATAGCGGCCAACAAACCCAGTTGCACCGAACACAGTAGCTACAATTCCACTGAATGATGATCTTCCGCCACGACCCCTCTTGTAGGCGGCAAGGTTGGTGCTTTCATCTCTCTTGCTGATATAAACAGCACTAACCAAGCGAGGTACTGTTGCCTTTCCATGTCCTACACAAACAACATGTTGACAGACATATCAAAGTAAACAATGCAATAAAAAATGACTAAATAACATTTAAAAACAACCAACACCATAAAGAATATATCAATGCTTCTAGTTCTATACATGATCATTACTAGTGGCAAGGTAACAGAAAATGTGAAGCTTATTCCAACTTCTGCTGCGCTAAGGTACAATGATCTAGTAGAGTAACTGTTCCATACATATATAGATGTTAATGTTGGCTACGATAAACTGCTTTCTACCCAACTGATCAGTAATGTGAGCTACCTAACGACACGATAAATAACCTGGTAGGCCCTTTCAATCTGACACAACTGTCATAACGCCAAAACCTTCCGGTTAATTCCATACTGTAGCAGTCTTAGGAAGTGAAACTAGTCCAATAATTCAGAACCAGTGCAATGATGGAAATTCATAAATTGCAGGTTTACCGATACAATACAGTAGCACCATGATCAGAAAACATCATAACAATAACTGTTCACAAAAAAAATAAAGTTTCAACCGGTGCACTGCAATGTTGGAGGTCAAAGGGACGGTACAGGTTATTATTGTTACTGTGTAGATGGCTATCAAAATAAAGAGTAAATGTGATTGGTGTTATACTTATGAGCATTTCGACAGATATTAATAATTGCGACTGACAATGCAAAAGCTTGGAAACTTACGCCCAACTTGGACGACAGTTTTGGAAACAGTGGCAATCGCCGCCATATTGCCGACTCACATTGCACTATGGGAGAATCTTATTTCATATGAAGTGAATTTTAATGTGTAGCGCAATACGTATTAGCAAATAAACATTGAATCCGAATTTATAAATAAACCTTTATTATACACGTATATAAATTACATGCATGCGATATCGGACCAAAATTACGGACACATGCAAAATATTTACGTACGGCCCAAACCGGAATGGGAATGATGAAAATCAAAAGAACATTCGAATTTGTGCAGCATTTCATTAAATTCTTGACATTTAATTCGGTTTTTAATTTGAAATGTACATAATGAACCGTTACTTTTGTATGACATCAGCCTTCCCTTCCCTTTTTCAAAATTCATTCTCCGTTTTAAAGTTTGTTTGTGAAAACCACAGTCTTCACAAGTTGCAGCCACCAACCACGATCATTTAACAATTTTTTAAAAGAAAATCGAAAAGAATTTGGTAAGTGTTTTATTTCACCATTATATAACATTCTAACATTTCGATACATCATAATTCATTCTAACGGGAGTTAAGATTGTGATCACCCAAACAAGTTAATGTGCTTATTATTTCGTGGTGGGAGCGTTTGATTTACGTTTGTGTGGCTCAGAACGACGGCTTTGGCGTTCGTTCATTTCTTTATTTACCCACATGTCGGTACTGAATTTTCAAGGCACTCCACAGTGATACCACCGATAAGCCAAATATCTGTATGTGTCTCTTATCTTGTATAAGTGTATCAGTACTCATTATCCAATACGATCGATTTATATAGCTATAAAATGTACATAACACACTAATTTATGTTTAACTGGTTTTAAGAATTTTTACCATTACAGTTATTCAATACCTGCTAATAAATGTTAGGTACACAATGAATGTACAAGATAGCATATCATGTGGATGATTTTACAAAATGTTCTGTATAGATATATGCAACTAAAATGAGAAACTCCTTCAAGTTAACTATTGACTGAAATACCAGATCCTAAACCCCACATGATACAGAACCGTAACCTAAATTCGTGAATAACCTTGATTCATGGATCGCGGAAATTATCATGCTAGCTCGTAAGCCTCGCTGACAAAAAAAGTTTTGAATTTCTGCACTACACGCAAGTACACTAAATATAATTGTCCAGCATTGAGATAAATTGCCCCATATCACTAATACCACCATTACCAAATTTTATTTTTACAAAATGTCAAGTAAAATGTCAAGGTTGCTAGCTCCAACCTTCTCACTTCTCGTTGTCTGTTTTCCTTGGTGTCAGTACTTCTGAATTGGGATGTTGTACATAGTGGTATAAAGTAACCGACTACATAATCCACAAATCAAGGAATATTAGGCATTTTCATATTATTTCAATTTGCTGATACAATGAATAAAATAATCAGTGCGTTATACAAAATATAATCATGCATTTAAAATATGAATTTCGCCACACTTCCCTTATATCCATGAATCAAGGTTACGCGAGTGTAAATATTAATACCAAATAAATTTAGTTGAATTTACCCCATTAGGTGCTGTAATAATCATGCAAAGTTTAGATGCATTGGTGAAGAGAAGAGACGTTGAAGTATATAATATGATCTGTTCACATGCTACAGAAACAATAGAAGTAACAGTCACTGACCAAGTCATTGCTGGATGAGGTAGCTGAAGACAAAGGGAACCCTATACTAACTAACAAAACTACTTTTCCTATTTATTTGTTCAGTGTGTTTAGGTTCGTTGAGAGAGCTGTTATCTACTCAAGTTTAAAATACATAAATTAAAGTACACAATATTTACATTGTGGTATATAAATTTCATAAAGACAAGCAATCAGTTTTTGTGAGAATCCTTGAGTTTGTTAGCTCGATAGGGTGACTAAACTCTGTACTGTTAAACAATGAATATGTAGCTAGTCTTGCTGAAGGGTTACATAACTGAAAAAGTGGTAGCCTAATGGGCTATTAAAATCCGATTAGCCATGGTTATGATGGTGTCGCAGGCTCTAATGAGTGGTCACTAGCCATTTCTCACATTTATCCCGCATTGTAATTTACAAGATCCTGCATGATATGGTCAAACCTGATATGACACAAACAAATGCCTAGAATGTCACTGTCAAATATCTTGAATGAGACACTGTTAGAAAAAAAAATCTAGAAACTGAGGTACTTGACATATTATTAGTGTGTCAATCATGTTGAAAGAGATGGTTGACTGAAAAAGGAATCCTGTGCTCAGACTATATAAATTGGTTACTAGCATAGGATTATCAAGTCCAATATCAACTATTTACAGGTAACCTTCTCACAGATGAAATAACAGAGTGTGGCATTTAGCAGCTAAAACCTTTTGACTTTCATACATCTAAAGAGTTATATGGGTCTCTTGAAGTTTCAGAATACAGTGGTACCTTCTTCAGCTCACAAAACCATCTTGTCAATGTAAATGTGATGAAGTTCCTGTAGTTGCCTGTGTTGTATTGGTTACCTGTTCATTACTTTTCAGACAGGTATTGAGTGGGGTCTTCATCAGCCAAGATGTCGTACATGTTGCAGCATCTCCACAATGGCTGGCAGGTGGACCAGGCCATATTGTCGGAGGAGGATCGGGTGGTCATCATCCGCTTCGGCCACGACTGGGACCCCAGCTGCATGGTCATGGATGAAACTTTGTACAAGTGTGCCGAGAAAGTGAAGAACTTTGCTGTGATATACTTGGTGGACATTTCTGCAGTTCCAGATTTCAACAAAATGTACGAGTTGTATGACCCCTGCACCTCCATGTTTTTCTACAGAAACAAGCACATCATGATTGATTTGGGTACTGGCAACAACAACAAGATCAACTGGTGTATGGAGGATGTTCAGGAGTTTATTGACATTGTGGAGACAGTGTACCGGGGCCCGAGGAAAGGGCGAGGTTTGGTTGTGTCACCAAAAGACTACTCTACCAAGTACAGATACTGACAGCTTTCACAATTGCATTACCGGTATATGTATCATAAAGTGTCATTGGTCATTTGTTTCGCTATTCATGTTTCACCAACATTGATACAAGTTACCACATTCAGAGTGCTGCAGTGGCCATGTAATGAAAAATAGACAGTTTCTTGAAGTGAAATGCCATTAGAAATGTGTAAACATCAAATAGCCCATAAGTTAACCATAACAAAGGTTGTTGTCAGTAATGACTTATTAAGCATATATATTCACATCCCATGCACATAATAGATAAAGTGAAGGTTTCCATTGCCATAAACACTAACCATCAGAAGTTCTCAAGTTATATATCATTGAAAAGTTGAGAAGCAGTGTAGTTTCTCAATTGTGAAGGCAGACTGTACATTACAATCTGAGGCCCTGTTCAACACATAGACATTTGTTTCGCAATGCCATCTGTTGCCATGGTAACGGACAACATCAGGAAAGACTAATTATTATGATTGTCGTATTGTCTGGGACAGGAAATAAACATGTTGTGCTATGTTGCTTTTTGTGCTTTGTTGGTAAGTATAACTGTCAACATGGTCAAGTGTAGGAATTTGGTTTGTTTTGGTTGACATTCTCTGTGTCTCTGGTCTCATCAATTACAGTGAGAATGAATGGTATGTGAAAGTCAGCAAAAAGCATACTATACTGAACAGCAAACGAAACACAAGTCTGGCTTTTTGTCAAGTTTTTGAATAGAAGACAACCAAAATCATGTCTAGTCATTTATTGTCTAGTCATTTATTCTATAGAAAAATGTTCAAATTGATCACAGTCCGTCAAATGGAGAACGCGAAAAGTGACAGACTCTTTAGTAGCACGTATAGCCACCTTGAGCTTGCACACAGGCCGTGCAATGTGGCCTCATTGAGTTCACTAGAGTCTGAAAGGATGCCTGAGGCAATTGGTTCCGCCCAAACACCAATCTCTATTCCAAATGTGCAAGTGTGAGTGGCTGTCTACCTGCCCCAATCCTCCGTCCAATTTCGTCCCAGAATGTTCAATGGGAGCCATATCCGGTAACGAGATGGCCATAGCAAAATGTTAATGTTGTTCTGAGCCAGACAATCCATCGACACCCTTGCTGTGTGAGGGCTGCAAACGTCATTGGCGTTGTTGACGTGCCAAAATTGGCCCCACATATGGCCTTCAGCAGTGGATTCCAGCAGCCGGAAGACGACGCCTAATCGTATCGCTGGACACTGCTCCCCTTGACCCAAGAACTAAGGCTGCTGTTACTGTTGCTGCTTGAGTTCGGTTCCTTAGATGAGTGACCCGGATGAACCGATCTTGCGTATGAGTTGTTACTCGTTGCCGTCCGGTACAGGGACTATCAGCAGCAACCCCTGTTTGCTGATGACGTTGAGCAAGTCGTGTAATGGTGGTAAAATGACAGCCCAATTGTCTAGCTACCTCCGTGCAACTTTCCAATGGCCATTCCCCTCTGCTCAGTCGTTAGTCTAGGCATCGTTTGTGTGGCGTGTACACCTCCTAGCGTCAATGCTGAACTCTTTTGACACAAACCTTTATAAAGGATACCTCAGAGTGAAATGCATGTTTTCCATCCAGAACTGTCAATGCACGTGCTAAAATTATTGTTTTGTTGCACTCACTGTTGGTGTGTTTGTGCCAGTGTTTCGTATGGACGTCAAATTGCATGACATCTCATCGGGGATCATGACGTCACTTTACCATGAACGTTCCATAAACATGAACGCTTACCTTCATGAAATTTCATTTTTTCGAAACTTGCGTTTCTTTTGCTGTTCAGTATATTTCTTACTGGTCTGCAAATAATCAAGTATTGGCCAAGCAAAACAGTGATTGATAGTGTGAGTAAAAATCCAGAAGTAATGATCAGTCAACGTTGTCCCTCAGTGTGACGTCCTGATACAGTGGTGACAAGAATGGAATCCTGGGGATACATCCTTATGAACAAGTGTCTCATTGTCGTGAGGTAAACGGAAAGTAGGTACCAGTACATGAATATCTAATAAAATTTGGTATGTGCATAGTAAACAAACAATACATCACTTGGACATGGTAGTTTTTTTCAGTCTATTTGACCAGTGTAAAACACATGCTGTGTGAAACATTTCCACTTGTTTGGGAAACCAGAAAATTACAAAACCAAAACATATGTCTCAAGTGACTTTCAGTAAATAAGAAAATAATTGAGATTTGAACCTTGAACAAATCATCTGAATCGGAGTGGAATTGTTTTGGTCCAGTGTACCTTATACTGCACAAAGAGTATTATGTATGTGAAATATATTGTAACAGAATCTGAACTTTATCAACTTCAATAATTCAAAACTCTAACATGTACAGATACATGGTGTGTCATCTGTAAATAAAGCATAAATTATGAAAACCCTAAAGAATTATGTTTGTGCATGTTGTGAAATCAATGGAATGTTTCCATCTACGACTCATGGTCAAAGGGAGATAATTCTGTCGAATTACCTCCCTTGCACCACACAGCCAGCTTATGTAAGCCCGTCACCAGCTGCAACAACACACGTCGTGGATAGTACCCTTGAGGTTTGTTTTAATATTTCTCATTGTAATCCAACTAGCGTACATCCATGGACTTTGATCAGTAGGCGAACGAACATTGAAAGCTTGAATGTTAAAAAACTCAGTGATGTTTTCCCTCCTGTTGACGTGAAGCCGGCGCCAAGTAGGCCAATAAAGATCCCGAACATTGTACTTCAGCATAACATACTCATTTTCCGCTTACACATGCCTGTCTGCTAAACGAACGGTCAGATGTTTACTAGTACATGTACCACATGAAAATGCGAACAGATATCTTTCTTTAAGTTCTGAACTACCACCAGGCATATAGAGTGTCGTTAAATCAATAAATGTGGTCTCTCTTTACACGAACACACAATTTACTGAATGTCCTATACTTACAATCCAACAAAGAATCAGAACCAAGAATCTGTGCTTCAGAACGTTAATCTGAATATGAGGTAGGCAGTACGAGTTGTTATATCCCAGTATCACCCCTAGACCTAATTTGCAGTAAAAATAAGTTTGTGGGATAACAAAACCTTTTTCAAAGGATCCAGACTGAAGAAATAATATTTTCCAGCCAAAAGTAACATCTGACCAGGAATCTTGTTTCTGGATAACTTTATTGCTGGGCCACACTTGAACACCCATCTAGCATTACTCTTTTCAAAAGTGATTCCCAATTTCTTGTGCTCAACACAAAGTTAGGTCAAGAATACTGTGTAACAGAGGTATTCTTTGATGATAGTTTAATGAGGATGAATAATTGAGGAGGTTTTCAGGGATTTATTCAAGACTGGTAACGTGGGATATGGAGATCCCCAGTTGGCTCTCAGTCCATAAAACTGGACTAACAAAACGCCCTGAATGATAAAATATACATCAATTAATACATGTCTCTCATATATGTAACACATATCATGTTATACATTCAATATAGTTACCATAGTGACCATGCCACTATACTATTAATACTATCTAGTATCCAGATTTAAGCAAAAACATGTACTGTAATTATCACTCACATATATGACAACTATTATTACTAATATTTACAATCACATTCTAAATACAATACCTCACCTCGTCTCGGGGACGCAGGCAGAATAGGCCAACAGCTAGTGTAAACATATGATTCTCAGTGAACCTAAATAAACAAAATATTGCCTAAGTATACTGCTAGTATATGCAGATACATCATGAACAGAATTAGCGTACACATAAATAGTAATCTTATTTACCCTAATATACACATAAATATGCATGTAGAAACTAAACCTTATAATATACATGCATGATACGCATTACTGTATCACGCCAATCATGAAATAGCTAATACATATACATGCTACGTTACATAATACAAATTACAGCATCATGGTGGTATAAAATACCCTACTGTACAAATAAACTCATACCAGTAAACTAATGTATTGGTGCACAAAACATCATACATTTGTCTAAAATACTAGGTATACATATATTTATTGACAAACACCTAACTTACACCAAATATGATAAAACACTATTCCTTAAAACATGTATCTAACACACTAAATACTAATAGCCCGACTATACATATAATACTAAAAGATCTAACTTAACCTACCCCATAATGTGCTGGTGTTGTGCTCTGATTGTGCTATCTAGGAGAATGATGAAGACGGCCACAAGTGAAAGGCATTAGAAAGCTTTAAGTATGACAAGAAGGTGGGTGATAGCTGAAATCTTATGAAACAATAGGAACCTTGACAACAGGCCAATGCAGAGATTGAACGCACAGATCACGTACCCTTAACAACAGACCCCAAGCTAGCTGCTGCCAATAGCTTACCAGTGAGCTAGTTAAACAGTGCAAGTGTTAGTGTTAACCAGGCCAGTTTGGTAATGATAAAGTTTTACACCTACGTTTAAAATAATGAAGTTTAACACATTAAAATTGCACACTTTTATCTACACACTGCTACATTTATTTGCTACTTTGTTATCCCTTGCCTGGGAGGATTACGGCACTGAGAGTAAAGTTATAGGTATCGCTGATCCAGAGCAGACTATGCATGTACATTTATCATGTCTTTACTGTGAGTTGAGTCATTTTATCAAGCTTCGTACAGTCCTATTATCAGTACAGACACTCGCTCATGAGTGATTCTGTTTACAGCTGCTGAATTGATGGCGAAAGCTGAATATAGTTAATATGCCAAGCCTGTAAACCAGGGAAGTCACACTCAGGGCTTATGTGATCTCCATACACCCCACCACACCCATCTGAACAAGCATCATGATGGAGACTTGTGATAGGGTGCTTGTCCTGTCTCCTCTCAGTACCAGGGAACATCAAGGGAACCAATCCAGCGGTGTATGTCGGCTTTAAAGTCAATTGACAGCCATACTCGGTGGTTTCTATGTACCATAGCTGTTCTTTAGCAATAGTGTTCATCTCAAGAACCGTCTACCACCTCTAGCCACCTGGCTTAACCAACTGAGCTTCCTGCCAGTATCGAGAGTTTGTGGTTACTGGCACTGAATAGTCCTACAGCACCAACAGTCGAGGACAGGGTATAAGAAACCATGTCTAATAACTCACCAAGAAATGTAAGCTGTGTTGAGTACAGGCAGTTTTTGTCCAGTTAATGATAAGACCTAGATATTCCAAACGTGCTTGAAATGCTGTTCACTAGGTATAGTTGCTAACATTTACAAAGTGGATTCATCACCTCTCAAGATGTTTTACCCAACTGAAACATATACAAGTGAAATTACAAGCCACCAGTTATCATTTTTAAAACAATGGCAATACACTTTTGACAAACCTGTTTGAAGTGTCACGCAACAAAGAAATTCACCTGAAGCAAACTTGTGGGCATGCTCTGATGATGTAATTTGATATATTTGTGAGGCTATGATCTATAGATTATGATAACCATTCTGAACAATGCAGCTGTGTGATGCTGTGGTGCTTCATATTTCTGA